AAATTTCAATAATATTTAGTGTAGGTTTATGCATTTTTATCCTCATTCACTAATGTCATAATATATTTATTTTTGTTTGTTTTATCAAGTTAAATAAGTATTAATCATAAAATAATCATTTTTTTAAAATACGCTTAGGGCCCCGAAAATGTCAGGACCGGCCCTGGTTGAACTCAACACACCAATTTATTTAGGAATAAAATAAACGACAATCTATATGCATTAACAAATAAATTACGGCCACCATCTGAGGCAATGTTAAATTACAAAAAAAAAACCTTTTGTTTGGGTAATTACAACCACCCATGAATTATAAATCTTCTCACATGTCCATCATTGCATTGTAGTGGAATCTTCTAGATTATATGGAATATTCTCCAATTCGTACCCGTTTTATCCCATTCGAGCTCTACATTTTGAAACAAGATGATCATAAGATGTGTCTCTTGACTTGTAAATATTAGATTGTGGTGCATCAGAAACTGCATTTTTGCACAAAACAAGTACAAACTAGAGAACATTCCACGCAAACTAGAAGATTATGTTGAATTTGAAATCGTAAGGGTGAATTTGTATAAAAACATTCATAGTTAAGGGGGTGATTGTAATTATTCAAACATGAAGGTTTTTTTTTCTCGTAATTTGATCTTAGCTCAGGGTTGGTTGTAATTTACCCTTTATTATTGGATGAATTCCACTACCTCCATTGTACTTTGGGTCGATATCCCTTACTCCGATCCATTCTACATTTGATTCGATTTGTTCCCCTGTACTTGAAAAATTGTCTTAATGTAGCCCTCGTCGTTAGTTTTCATACCTTTGAAATCAACACTCTTTGATCTAAGTCTGAAAATTACAAAAAAACCACCCCTCACAGTTTAAATAATTATTAAAATAAAAATTGTGTCTGGCGTCGTGGACTATGTTTTCTTGTTATCTTATTTTTTTATTTTTTTATTTTTTGTTTTTTATATTTATTTTTTTGTTTTTTTTTAATAATTATTTATTCTGGGAGAGGTGGCGTTTTTGTAATATCAAATTTAGATCAGACGGTGTTAAAGTCAAATGTTTGACAACTAACAACAAAGATCACATTGAGATAATTTATCATCAGGCAATCAATGAAACCGAGAGTTGAATGGGTTAAAGTGATACCGATCCAAAGTAAAGGGGGAAAATAGAATTTACACTTTATTATTTACACACGATATTAAACCCCAAACCCCTTTGATACAGATACTACTCGATTTTTAAACCGACTCTTCCCTCCCTCACAAGCGAAGTCGCTGTATTCCCCCAATTCCAAATTCCATTAACCGTAATCCAAGACCCTAATCTCACACACACACACACACACACACACACACACACACACACACACACACACAGAGAGAGAGAGAGAGAGAGAGAGAGAGAGAGAGAGAAGCGGAATAAAGCCAGGAAATCGAAGCTGTTTTTACTTTTCAGGTTGCTCTTTGATTCAAGAAATTTTGTATCTATCTATTATACGTAAATCTACTTTGCATGTCAGTTGATTTGTTCAAGCATTTCGACTCAATTTTAACATGTGCATTTGATTTTCGATGTTTCGTCTATTTGTTTCTTGTGATTAAGATACTTTATTGACGATTCTTTAATTTGTTTCTTTATTTTGCTATTATTTATTAATTTCAAAAGGAAATTGTTGTTTGTAGGAGATGGTATGTATAATCTCGTTCGTGAATTTCCTTGATTAATGTGATGGGAAATCAAGATTTGGATTTTTCGTATATTCGTTTCTAACTTTATCCCGCTCCGTAACAGGGTTCAGTATCTGCATGTTGTTTTGCCATGTAGAGAAAAAATGGCATTAGAGATTACTGTGTACTTTTAATGAATTATATATTTTTGTTGTTTTCATTTTGGGTTTTAAAAGATAAAGATTTTTGTGAACACTAATTGAAGTTCAGATTCGTAGTCTCTGTTTGCATTTCATGTTTCATCTGTTAGTTATTTTGGTAAAATCATGAAATTTTACGGTAGTCTAGAAAATTGTGTTAGCTTCATTTTGATATCAATTATGCATAAATCGGATTTATATTGATTAAGTTATGGATCGTTTTCTGAAACTGCACAGTTTCTGAGTCATTTATGAATTATGTGTTTAATACGACTTTATACTAATTTGACTTGCGTGATTTACTTGGATATGATTATAGACTTGTCAAACGTCTTCTCTGCAAAATTTCAAAGTGATTGGTTAAAGGTATGAATTAATTGGCTGCACTAAATTAATTATTTCTCTTAAACGGCTAAGTTTCTTACTAAATTGTTTTAACAAGCTAGAATATACTTATAGGTGAACATTTTGTGATACTTTCAGGTTGTTTGGATGTATGTTCTAAGAGATATGAATTTTCAAAGTTAAAATACCGAAACTGTCAAATTTTCTAAAATGAATTATTTTGAACTAGAAAATATGTTTAGAAGTATGGTTTTAAATTCTTCATCCTTAGTTAATAGAAGAATTAAGGTAACAAATATTAAGATAATAGGATAGAATTAACTATAGTTATGGTCATGAAGTATTCATTTAAGTCATTATGTGCTACTATCTATACGTTTTGATTGATTTAGGTATATTGGTTTGAGATTCATTATGTGCGTGCCGTATGTGTGCAAGTATTGGAAACGATTGAGATTAATTAATTGGGGACTTATTGGTTAATTACACTCGTTAATGCTATATAGTATATACTATATGTCATTCTTTATATATATGTTTATATATCCTAGCATGCGTGGTCGTAGGAATAATTCCCAATCCATGGCTTATATATGTATACTATGCTATATTATCTCTCTATAGCAACCTACGTGGTCGTCGAGTGAAAACTCCGATCCATGGTTTATGTAAATATAAACTATACTATTATAAATATGTGTGTGTGTGTGTGTGTGTACAGCCGTGTATGTATTTGTGTCATATGTGTGATTTAATTAGTCTTGTGATAATATGTGGTATGTGGTTGATAATCTTTGTGTTATTATATTGTGACCCATTTGTGTGTTAATTGTGATGTCTAAATGGCGATTGAATTATAGTCTTAACATTCATGTTCATGCATATCACGGATTTTTTAAAGTATGGAAAATTAATGGAATGCTTGATTAAATAAACGGGATACGGTGGGCCGGTATCCAGATATTGTTAAAGAGTGGTTTGATCCCACTAAAGAAACGGGCTCGTAAAGAATTATTGTCCAAGTATGGAAATTAATTTTCACGGATCCGGTAATCAAAAATGGGTTTTTACACAATTTTTATGGTAAACCAAAATGCGTTTTACACGATTTTTTTTATAGTAAACGAAAATGAGTTTTTACACGACTTTTATGTATTGATGCACATGATTAAGTTATCATGTATATCATGTTTTCTTTTGAAAGTTTGAAAAATTAACGAAATACTTGCTGAATAAACAACGGATACGGTGGGCTGGTATCCATCTAAAGTTTAAAAGGAGTGGTTTGTTCCACAATAGAGACGGGCTCAAAACGCTTTATAGTTTATTGCTTGAGTACATAAATTAATTTTTCGCGGATCCGATAAAGTGAAAAAAAAAATTTCCATGCATTGCATTCACGTGCATTTTGGTCATTTTGCATATTAAAGTGATTTATGTGGAAATGATGTGCTTTTGTGATTGGTGTGCTGTCGTATATTACCGATGTTTAGATGGTCACGTTGGGGTTCTCATGAGGATCCTGTCGCATTGCATTTATATGCGTAAAGTGTTAAATTGATACATTTATATGCGTAAAGTGTTTAGATGGCCGGTCAAGTTGGGGTTCTCACTTTGGCATGAAAATTCCATTAATTTTACAAATACAGTTGCCGATGATCTTCTGTTTCATGTAAGAATCACGAAACCCCTCTTCTAATTTCACGATGTTAGGGTTTGTTCTGAATTCAATTTCTAATTGGTGTTTCTGTTTTTGGCAGGAGAAATTGATCGACAGAGAAAATCAACAACTCCCACAGTTTAATTCAGTTTTTCATTAATGGGGAACGCAACCGGTTCATTTTTCGCTGGATTAGGTCAAGTTGTCGGCAACATCCTCGGTCACCCCCTCGATTTCCTCTTCGGAAAATCCTGCGAGTAATTTCTTCTTACATCTGTGTTTTACTATCATATATATACAGTAAAACCTCGATAAATTAATAGCCTCGTTTAAATAATACTTTATTCCGGTCCCAACTCGATAACAACGTATTAAAGTATTAGTTCGATAATTTTTTATTTCTCTAAATTAATAGAATTTTGTTAGTCTCGACTGTATTAATTTAAAGAAGTTTAACTGTATATATACAAGTCATTAGTAATTTCCATTTTTCTTGCATGTAGCTCCGTATGTGCGTCGACATGGGATTTCATCTGTTTCGTCGAAAACTTCTGCGTTTCGCATTTGCTCAAGTTCGCCTTCGTGGCAACATTGCTCTACTTTGGTAATAACCTATTTGAATTTCCCGAAAAAAATAAATAAATAATCATTTTTTTTCTTCTTTTTGACGACAAAAAATAAAAATGCAGTGCTCTTATTCGTCTACCTAATATTCCAACTGGGAATCTGCCAATGCATTTTTCGCTCCCTCTGTCGTATCACATGTGCTTGTTTCGCCACGTGTTTCTCCGCATTCGAATTCTTTTGCACCTACTTATGCTTCAAGCTTCGACTGGTCAAGAGAAAACGAAGAACGAGAAAAAGGGACATTGAAGAATTCAGTACAAGCGAAGACGAGTACGAGTTAGGAGAAACTTCGAGATTAAGACAACCTAGCACGAATCTTGAACATAGGAGGAGATCACGGTTTGATAAACGGAAAAACTTCAAAAACGAGCGTCTAAGGAGGTCGTTGAAACCTACTACTACCCATCGAGCAAGTGTGGGGTCCGCTAGGAATTCCGTTTATATAAATAGGAGAAATATTTTGAAGAATATCGGTGATTGTACAAGCCCGCTTCACCATCATATTCGGGTGAGTAGGAGTTCCAAGTTCTTGAATAAAGGATCGAGGCGCAGAAGAAGCGGGTTCGGAGGAAACAAGTTTAATTATAAATCTTTAGAGAAATTTAGCTTTAGTTGCTGACCAAGTTAAAAGTATAAATTAATAAACTGGTTCAAAACAAGTTGCTCCTAGTGAAAACATTACACGAACGAAAAGGATCTGTTTTTCCTTCGATTCCCGTTTTTCCTATGAGCCAGCTTGATACCCAAATCTTTTGTATTAGAAAATGAAATGAGATTAGTTGTTCTTTTGTATCAAAAATCTCAATTCGTTGAAAAAACTGCTAAATTGTT